AATAACACCATCACTCTGAGCTGACACACACTCTCTGTGTCAGTATCTGCAAGTAGATTAGATACAATGGAAATGAGTGAGATGTTCCGGTAATAATAGATCAAACTCACACTCATTCAGGGAAGAAAAAGACAGGAACGGGCAAACGTTCAACAGATTTAATCATAAATGAACACAAAATAAACAATAAGTCTTCTTCTGGAGCTCTTCTGTGGGCTTGAGACTTGTTAAACACTCATGGCACTAACCTCACTCCGCCCCCACAGCTGTTAGCTCCGCCCTCACACTAATCAGCTTTACCTAACTGACCAATCAAAATCAACTTCAGTCAAAGATTTGCATAAGGCGAAAAACATTCTATTAATCTAGAGCGAGTGCAAACGCAAAAAAATAACCTGACTCCACCTCTACGTGTCTTGGCCCCGCCCACACTTATCACAGCTACTAAACGGACCAATCAAAATCAACTTGAGTAAAAAATTTGCATTGAGGCAAAACATTCCACAAGTAATCAAGTTAGTAATGCAATGCAAACGAATGGCCTTGCTCCACCCCCTCAGCTATTAGCCACACCCAAACATAGCACTGCTGCCAAACTGACCAATCAAAATCAATTCAAGTGGAAAATTTGCATGAGGCAAAAATATTCTGCTAATAATCTATAACAAGTGACACAATGCACATGAAGTGCCTTGCTTGGCCCCCACAGCTTCTGGCTCCTCCCACACTCATTACCACTATTAAACTGACCAATCAAAATCATTACTTGTGCAAAAAGTTTCATTTTGATTACACATTGATTAAAGCTATCAAACTGACCAATCAAAATCATTTTGAGTAAAAAATTTGCATGAGGTGAGTGACGCAATGCAAATGAATAGCCTTGCTCCATCTCTATGACTCCTGACCCCGCCCACATTGATTACAGCTACCAAACTCATCCATTCAATAATTTTCTTTTCAGCTTAGTCCCTTTATTCATCAGCGGTCGCCACAGTGGAATGAACCTTTAATTTATCCAGCATATGTTTTACACAGCGGATGCCTTTCCAGCCGCAACACAACCAGCTTCCAAACTGTCCAAACAAAATCAATGTGAGTGAAAAATTTGCATCAAGGCTAAAAGCAGTCCAAGAGTAATCCAGTGAGTAATGCAATGCAAATGAATAGCCTTGCTCCACCCTCCACAGCTCCTCAGCTATTAGCCCCACCCACACTCATCAGCTTTACCAGACTGACCAATCAAAATCAGCTTAAGTGAAAAATTTGCATAGGATGAAAAACATTCCACGTGTAATCTAGAGCAAGTAACACAGTGTGCAATAACAGCCTGACTCCGCCATCATATTCTTGGCTCCACCCACACATATCACAGCTACCAAACTGGCCAACCAAATTCAACTTGAGTGAAAAATTTGCATTGAGGCTAAAATTATTATCATTCCACAAGTAATCTAGAGCGAGAAACGCAATGCAAATTAATAGCCTTGCTCCGCCCCCACAACTATCAGCCCCACCCACAAGTACAATCAACTTATGCGAAAAATTTGCATGAGGTGAAAAACATTTCACAAGTAGTTCAGAATGAGTGACGCAATGCAAATTAACAGCCTTGCTCCACCCCTACAGCTATTAGCGCCACCCACATATATCAGCTTTACCAAACAGACCAATCAAATTCAAGTTAAGTGAAAAATTTGAATTGAGGCTAAAAACATTCCTTGAGTACTCCAGTAAGTGATGCAATGCAAATAAACAGCCTTGTACCACCCCTATAGCTATTAGCTCCTCCCACACTCATTAAACCGACCAATCAAAATCAACTTAAGTGAAAAATTTGCATACGGCGAAAAACATTCTTAGTAATCCAGAGTGAATGAGTCAATGCAAATTAATAGCCTTGCTCCGCCCTTACAACTATTAGCCCCACCCACACGTATCACTGCTTCCAAATTGGCCAATCAAAATCAACCTTAGTGAAAAAATTGCATGAGGTTAAAAAACATTCCGAGAGTAATCCAGAATTAAGGATGCAATGCAAATAGCCTTGCTCCACCCCTACAGCTATTAGCTCCACCCACACTCATCAGCTTTACCAAACAGACCAATCAAATTCAAGTTGAGTGAAAAATTTGCATAAGGTGAAAAACATTCCATGAGTGGTCCAGAATGAGTGACGCAATGCAAATTAATAGCCTTGCTCCACCCCTTTAGCTATTAGCTCCTCCCACACTTATCAGCTTTACTAAACTGACCAATCAAATTCAAGTTGAGTGAAAAATTTGCATAAGGTGAAAAACATTCCACATGTAATCTAGAGCGAGTGATGCAACGCACATTACTGGAATTATTAAAACATTAGCGACACAATGCGATTGGTCACATGACTGCATCACATGACTAAAATGATCATAAATTTCCAAGGCCTCAGTTTTCACCGTCCACACTGTACTCCAAAACACTGCTTCACATTTATCCACTTAGGACAGCGACGTCAAACAGACTGTTTCCTAAAATCTTCGTCTCAGTGTGGACGGAAGGCTGAAGCGGAGAGAAAGATATACACTATAACTGAACCCTATCAGTGTGGCCATGGCCTGAGTCTCCTGTCCGTCTCTGTGCTCAGCTTTATCTAGCGCTGCATAAACACACAATTACACTAAACTCTTCCATTCCTGAAGTGAAAGCAAGTCGTGCCCCCCCCCCCCCCACACACACACACACACACACACACACACACACACACACACACACACACAGTTGCGCAGACAGTGAGCTGACGACTGAAGCCTGGACTCCATCAGCCTGCGGTGCCGCCATGTTTTTCACATTTATTTTCCTTCTCCTGGCCTGACTTTAGTGTTTGGCAGATCGTTCATAACACGCTTGACTCACTGATTACCAGCACATACCTGAAGCAGTGAGTGTGTGGAACAGACCGCAGGCGCACACACACATTAACACACACACACACACACACACACAGAAACACTGCTCACTGAATCTCCCACATAGAAATCTAATAAAGGACTCTGTATGCAAATGACACACATGCCATACCCGTTCATATTTGGATTTCATGTTTATAATATACGCAACATATTTTGGGAATATTGACAAATATCTATTGCAATATATATAGTGTTCAGCATAGATGAGTCTCAGATCCCTCTGTTCTCTCCAGGATGCTCTACAGTAATATATCTGTGCGGATACAGTAGATCAGTCAGTACCAGAGATCACAATCCCACAACAATACGCACAAAATATTAACATGCTGGAGGAAAATATTAAATAAGATTTTGTAGTTTGTATATATATTTTTCTAATACCTGGTTTGAAAGTAAAGTCTGATCTTTCTATTCCTGACCATATTATAAAGGATATAACTGATTTATCAAACTCTTTTGTTTAAATGCACCAAAATATACATTGAGAAATTGATGAAAATATTATTTTGTAAAAGTGGGTGTGCTCATTTATGAAGAGCACTATATATTACATATACACTCACCGGCCACTTTATTAGGTACACCTTACTAGTACCAGGTTGAACCCCTTCAGATCTGTCTTAATCCTTGGTGTTGTAGATTCAACAAGCTACTGGAAATATTCCTCAGAGATTTTGCTCCATATTGTCATGATAGCATCACACAGTTGCTGCAGATTTGTTGGCTGCACATCCATGATGCCAATCTCCCGTTCCACCACATCCCAAAGCTGCTCTATTGGATTGAGCTCTGGTGACTGTGGAGGCCGTTTGAGTACAGTGAACTCATCGTCATGTTCAAGACACCAGTCTGAGATGATTGAGCTTCATGACATGCTGCGTTATCCTGCTGGAAGTAGCCATCAGAAGATGGAGACACTGTGCTCATAAAGGGATGGACATGGTCAGCAGCAATACTCAGGTAGGCTGTGGCGTTGATGCTCAATTGGTACTAATGGACCCAAAGAAAATCTCCCCCACACCATTACACCACCACCAGCCTTACAGCCCGTCTGGCAGCAACAACCATGCCACGTTCAAAGTCTCTTAAATCCCCTTTCTTCCCCATTCTGATGCTCGCTCTGAACTGCAGCAGATCCTCTTGACCATGTCTACATGCCTAAATGCAGTTAGCTGCTGCCATGTGATTGGCTGATTAGACATTAGTGTTAACAAGCAGTCGGACAGGTGTACCTAATAAAGTGGCCAGTGATTATAATTTAGAAAAAAGTTTTTAAACCACTTCAAGTGTTGACTATAATATATATATATATATATATATATATATATATATATATATATATATATATATATATATATATATATATATATATATATATATATATATATATATATATATATATATATATATATATATATATATATATATATATATATATATATATATATATATATATATATATATATATATATACATATATATATATATATATATATATATATATAT